TGAATCTAAGTTTGGTTATTTTTGTTATAAATTCCTACAATGATGCCTTCAGAGCTTCTTCCCTGACCCAAGGTTTTTCTGAATTTAACAAGTATACTTTTTTATAAACAAGCAGATAATAAGGAAACAAAAGCCTATCCTGATCGTGCAACTGAATATTGCTGATGTCATAAAGCCATCTGCAACTTTTAGTTGCATAATCAGGAGATTCCTTTTCCTTAATTTATCCACCTGTGATCCCAGTACAATATCATATTAGTACTATTTATTTTAATGCTTATAAGGCTATTTTACAAATTTTAACATAAATAATGGTTCTGAAAATAGAGCAATCCATATTTAAATCTTTAGATCATAAAAAGGCGTATAGTGGATTAAATAAAAGATTTATTTGCTAATATTTCGGTTGGCTAAACGCCAACCTTTGTCAAGACATTACTACATTTTGTATAAACAAACTAAGCGCTGCATAGTGTTATAATATCACAGTTTAAATAATAGTTTGATTTTTTTTAAAGGCAATCCATTGAATATACAAGGTGTGTCCAATAAATAATGAGACCGGTCAAAAATAGAAAGCTTCAGCTACACTGCGGTATATCACATCACGTTATTGCGCGCGCAGTCGATAAATTGTAAGCTTGTAAAAAGAACGCCTTGCATAACAACTTCTAATTTGTAATGGATAGAAAATTCGAACAACGAATTTGTATTAAATTTTGCTACAAAATTGGGAAATCAGCTTCAGAAACTTTAGATTTGTTGAAATTGGCATTTGGAAAGGAAAATGTAAATAAGCCCACCACATTTAGATGGTTTTCACGATTTAAAAAAGGAATGGAATCGGTGAAAGATGAGAAGCGTGTTGAACGTCCATTTCTGCACAGGAACCCTGAAAAGGTGAGCCAAATTTCAAATTTTATAAAAGATAATCCACGAATAGGGTTACGGGACATTGAGGAAGAAACAGGGATATCAAAATCATTAGTTGGATCGATAATTAAAGAAGACACCTTCAAAATTTATCCCTAAAATGCTCACAATCCAACAAAAGGAGAATCACGTTGAAGTTGCCAAAAAAATGCTTGAAATGGTGGAAGAAAACCCTAATTGGAAGGAAAAAGTAATAACTGGAGACGAGACATGGGTTTACGGGTATGACCCGGAAACAAAACGCCAATCCATGGAGTGGAAAGGAAAATATGAAACAAGAACGAAGAAATCCCGACTTTGCAAGTCAAAAAACAAAGTCTTATTGGTCACGTTCTTTGACATAAAGGGAATTGTGCATTATGAATATCTAACAGAGCTCCAACATCGGGTCGCTCGAATCAGCTTCCGCCTTTTTTTAGGCATTACTCGGCCGAGTCCGTTTAAATCAGCCCTGCCAGGCTCCTAGAGGAAGGTCAAACAATCAATAAGGAGTCTTATTTAAACATTATGAGACGTGTACATGAATCAATTCGTCTGAAAAGAAGTGAAATGTGGAGTTAAAAATTGGATTATCCATCATGATAATGCACCACCACACACCGCTACATCTGTACTGACTTATTTGGCTAAACACGGCATCCAAATACAACAACCTCCCTATTCCCCAGACCTAGCTCCAAATGATTTTTTTCTCTTTCCAAAACTCAAAATGGCTCTAAAAGGAAGGAGATTTGACACTAGAGTCCATCATAGCGGATTCGAAAAAGGTCTTGAAGAACATCCTGAAAGATGCCTTTTATAAATGTTTTAAATCATGGGAGAAGAGATGGAAATTATGTATAGATGCGGGAGGGGACTATTTTGAAAAATACTAATAAAATTTTTTTTATCATTCTATTTTTTCTTTATTTTTGACCAGTCTCATTATTTATTGGACACACCTTGTATTTATATAAAAAAGACGCACCTTGATCTGTATAAGAAAGAAAAATAATTTTTCTCAAAATATTTTGAGAATACCTAAAGAATTTTTGTAAATTACTTTTTGAGTTTATTGTGCAATAAAGAGGGAGAATTCCCTCAAAATATTTTGAGATAAAATTGCTTTTTTTTTTTCTTTCACAATTCCATGTAGACCTTTTCATATAAAAAATAATAGTGACTCTTTGGTAAGAGGACACCTCCCCCTAAAGGACACTTTGGCTCTTCAATTAGGTATTGTCTTTGATAGTGAGATTCTACTGTACCACACTAGCTTTAAAATACGATTAGAAACTGAAAATGCAGTCGAACCTTTCTATAGCAACATCGCTTGGGACAATGATTTTATATTGTTATAACCATGTTGTTTTTTCTTAAGAAAATTCAGGCTATACAAGATTCGACATGTTTCTGTGGATTGGGGGAACAAACTTCAATACATCTTGTGCCCTGTCTTTCAAGATTACAGAGTCAACAACGGTTTAATAGCTTTAGGCCCTAGTGATTTAATTTCAAGTAAGGACACATATATAAAATTTAATTTCCTTTGTAAATATATTTTGGATTTCATTAAGAAAAATGGTCTTTGATGTAACGATCTCAAGGAAATATTGGACATATCTTGTGGTTGTAAAAAATATATAGGTGTATGCGTGTATATATGTGTATATATGTATATTTTTTAAAATTTAATGATGCAACTGTAAATCAAATTCAAAGAATATCTCTATATGTAAATAATATTTATGATTCTTTCTAAGTCACTTTCTGTGTAACTTTCCATGTTGAATATTTTCTTTGTTATATTTGTATGTACATTTAGCGTAAGTGTCCCTAGGGGGACATAGCGTTTTGAATTGAAATAAATAAATGTTGTTGTTGTAAAATATTTATAATTGGGTGGAGAATTTAAAACTTGGAACTTGATAATTATGATGCTAGAACCAAAGTTACTGTACTTTATCATAGCCTCATCCATGCAAGTTTCCAAACTTTTCAACAAGCACATCTACCCAAATTGCTCTATTCCCCACCATACTTTATATACTGGCACCAACATCAAACAAAAGGAACCATTAGTTAGATTAAAAAAAAAGTTGAAATTAAGAGTGATACAACTACAAGTTGATAACGGTTCTATTTAAGAACATGCTGTAATATTTTTTCTCATTTATTCTTTTGTCTGATATGGTAACAACGCTGTTACCGAAAGGTCACACACTATTAATTTATTTGGATTAGGTCTTATTTTCTTGTAGCTATAATCTATAATCCAAATTGTGCTTTATCATAAGAGTGATACAAGTTATTTTATTTTATAGAAGATACATATGTCACCTATTCTCTTCAAAGCTATCTTCCCCCAATGATGAAGTAAAGAAAGTGTTGGAGAAGGATGTATGTTGGAGGATGGCAAAGACATGGTGGGTCCACTGAAGAGGATTCCAATGGCATTCTGCCAAGTTCCACCTCACCTTGTCACTGGCTCCACCCAACTTGTCCCATCCTTGTTCCTCACCCTTGCTGATGAGCTAACTCTCACAGCTTTGTTTGATGTGCTGCCAGAGCTTTGCTTTTACAAATGGTTTAAACTTTGCTCAAATTCAAAGTAGTTTCACTCTCGAACAAGATCAGGATTAACCCTGGAATTCCTTCTTTAATAAATATTTTTTAAGAAAATGGTGAGGATTCAATTTGGATAAGAATCACAAAGTAGCATGACCAAATCTAAATAAGTAAATTATAGTTGATGAGGCACAATTTGGATTGTAGATTATAAACACAAGGTAATAAGACCAAATCCAAATAAATAAATAGTGTGTGACGTTTCGGTAACAATGCTGTTATCGAAACGTCACACACTATTTATTTATTTGGATTTGGGTTTATTACCTTGTGAAGTAAATTATAGGTGATGTTTTGGTAATGACGCTGTTAATGAAATGTCCCTTTTTATTTTCTTTTTGGTCTTGTTGCCTTGTGTGGTTCTTAAAGGATCTTTTTGTTGGATTAGAGATGGGGAGTGGATTTAAACCTAAAGCAATCTCTCTCTCCTATCCAACCTACTAGAACACTTGTGTAGAGCAGTAGTCTTATATTTCAACGCCCCAATGAAACAACAATGGGTATAATCCGGTATATATATATGTGGTATAATATAATAAGGTGGGAAAAGAAATAATCACACCGCCAAGAACCCAGACAACCAGAGAGAGAGGGGGAGAGACGGGCCCAACAACAGTTGGGCGTCCGTTCGTGTTGCACACAATCCCCAACTGTCTTAATAGTCCCGAGGTTCCAAGTAACGGGCCCCAGTGGTCGCCCCTTGGAATGTCGCTAATGTCTAAAGTGACCGGACTTTACCCTCCCGTCTCTCTCTGGGTTGACTGTGGGTTTGCATTATTATTCCTGGAAGAGTATATATTATGACATATATATATATAAACCAGACTATAATGGCATATTGATTTCTCTCCATGACAACCTGGATCAATAGCTCTCCAATAGAGGATTCATTACTATAATAAGAACACCAAACTGAAAACTTGTGTTTGTGAATAATTTTTAAAATAATTAACTTTAAATATACACACAGTGTAGAACTCTCATAGGATAACACTCTCACTAGAGAACATCTCTCTACAAGGAGAGTTTTCTTTTTTAAAATGACCGTTTTTACTATTTAACAGCTTTCTGGTAAAAGGACACACCTCTCCCTAAATGACTCTTTGACTCTGAAACTAGATATCCTTTACAGAGAGCTAGTTCTACTGTATTTGTAAGTTTTGGAGACAAATTTTGCAAATTCAATAAAAATATCTTTATAAATAGAAAAATGATAGGCACAATTTGGATTATCTCTATATATATAAAAGTCAATGTCTGTCTGTTTCGTGATAAACTCAAAAACTACTGAACCAATTGGTACCAAATTTTGTATGTCGCTTTTTATAAACCTGAGGAAAATTTTAGGCTACATTTTGATTAGTATTTTTGGCTATTTCTTTTTTTCATTTGAAGAACTTTTTTTTACGCAGAGTAATCCGGAATTGAATGAATACCCAAATATGGCCATTTTTTTATAAGCATCCGTGGTTCAGTGGTAGAATGCTCGCCTGCCACGCGGGCAATCCGGGTTCGATTCCCGGCCGATGCATTTTTTTTTTTTTTTTTACAATTTTTAAAACTCATTTATATTATATATAATATAAATATATATTATTATATCAACTATATTAATTAAATCAAATACCTAAACACTAATATAATATAATTTTTGCCATCACACACACTTTTTTCCTGTAGTTTGTGTTACTTCTGTATTGCTATTCTATGGCACTTCTAATATTTATTATTGATGTACTTTCAGTATGAAGGAAATTGCAATCCGGGGAATTCTCTGGCGAAGCCGGGTCATACGTCTAGTAGATTATAAACACAAGGTAATAAGACCAATTCCAAATAAATAATTTATATTTATTTATTTGGATTTTGTCTTATTACCTTGTGTTTATAAATAGAAAAACTTTCTCAGAACTTGCCCACCCATCCTTGTTTCACCATGTTGTGGTCACACCATACTTACTTTTTATGTAAGGAAGGAAAAACACGTGGAAACTAAAAAATCCACAGAAAAAATTAATGAGTTTCTATATTTGGAGATAACATCTTTTTTTTTATTAATCTACAAAACAAATTTATAAGCACCTTAGGAAATCATTTAAGAATTTAAAAGATTTAAGATTGAAGGTGTTTTTATAGCAAAAAAAACTGAGATTTAAAAAGAATTATATATAAAAGAACCTGAAATTCTTCCCTTATAGTAGAGCTTAAATGAGAGAACACTCTTGCTAGAGGACACCTCTCTACAAAGGACAGTTTTCATCACCAAAATTGACATTTTTACTATTTGGCAACTCTCCAATAAGAGGACACCTCTCTCTAAAGGACACTTTGGTTCTGCAATTAGGTGATGTACTTTACAGGAAGGTTCTACTGTATTTATAATTTTTCTCCAAAATCGACTCACTTGCCCAAAATGTAACTTGGCCCCTGCAGCTCCAGAACACATTTTGGCTTGCATTAGATGCAATGAATAGGACCTTTGGCAGAGGCCAATGCTTATCATCAAACAGCTTGAGGAGCATGGGCTAATGAAATTCATTTAAAGCCCGGATGAAAAAGGAGGAGGGGGAGCAGTAACAAGCTCACTAAAAAACCTGGGTTCAGCTGGCCTGGCTGATAGTACCCTGTTAGGGCTCCTAATCCAGGGATACAGGATGAGCAGCGTTTGTACTCCATGTTAGGAGCGGTTGCACATGGCGTCTGTTCCTCATGTCAGAGGCGGCCATTTCTTTTGGAGCTAAGTCGGCCTGCCACTGAGTAGTGCTCCCAGTCTTAATGACAAAGGCAGACGCATTCTACTTCACACAGTCATGATGGTTGTCAAACAAGCTTGATGACCTAATATGATTGAGTGGAGATAAGAAAGAAGAAGAAGAGATTTAATCTTTGCACAAAGGGATAAGAAACAACAACAATAATTATTCCCTAAGCTCTTTGAAATAATGTTTTATATCCCCATTTATTTTGTTTGTGCCACACATCACTGTCAAATGGTTTCTCCATAAACCAGTGATCTATTCTCCAAGAAATCCCTGAAATGATCAAAACATTGCTGAGAAATGACAAAGGTATTTGTTAACTCACCTTTTTTATAGGTTCTCCATGCTTCTCTGAATAATTTTGCTGTTCCTTCAAGATGTTATACAAAACCATTTTAATTGGGCTTTACTCTTTGAATTATGTGTTTTTGTCCCCTTTCTACAGATTACTTTTGATTCTATACAGTAAACCATCTGACCTCTTTAACAACTCTACCTCGTTCAGGAAAAAAAAAAGAACAGCTCTTTTTTGTGCTGTTGAATGTTACCTTTTATTGAGAAAATATAAACTGGTCGTTCAATTTTTTCCAGAAAAATTGACCAATACTCTTTCTTTTGAATTATCAGGAGAAAAAAGACAACCCTATACAGCATAATTTTCTAATTCAAACTATTTTGATTGATATTATGAAAAATGCATCTCCTGATTGTTCAACTAAAATCAGCAACTTTTAGTTGCAGGATCAGGAGATGCCTTTTTCATAATTTATCAACCTGATCTCAGTACATTTTTACTTTTGTACCATCTATAAAAGGAAATAAGACCTAATCCAAATAATTTATTAGTGTGTGACGTTTCGGCAACAAAATTGTCACCATCATCAGACAAAAGAATCTTCTTCATTCTTCTTCTTCTTCTTTCTTATCTCCATTCAATCATATTAGGGTATCTAGCTTGTAAAGCTTGAGACTTTTGATAGTGTCTGCTGACAATCATTAGACTGGGTGAAGTAGAATGCGTCTGCCTTTGTCATTAAGACTGAGAGCACTACTCAGTGGCAGGCCGACTTAGCTCTAAAATAAATGGCCGCCTCTGACATGAGGAACAGACGCCATGTGCAGCCGCTCCTAACATGGAGTACAAACGCTGCTCATCCTGTATCCCTGGATTGGAGCCCTTACAGGGTACTATCAGCAGGGCCAGCTGAGCCCAGGCAAATGCGGAGTTTGAAAAAAGAATAAATTCATACAATCCAAACTGTGCTTTGTCATTTTGTACCATCTTTTCACTTAATTCAAATGTTTCTCGTAATTCCAATTAGCCTATTTGCTTTAATTTAACCGGCTTTAATTCACCATGACTTTAATCCAGCCAAAAATTCAGATCCCTTGGGCTGTTGAATTAAAGAATTTTGACTGCATAGGCTGTTGGCCATCATCATTTAGCAACTCCCTTCGGGTTGCCTTGCCCAATCCGAGGTCGATAGTTGTGGTAAAATCTAGCGCGCCACTCTCCTGACGCGCGTGGTTCGTTTCGCTCCAAACCCGCCAAAGACGATGATCCCTCCGTTATATCGCTCGCACAGACCACCACGAGATCCGTGAAACAGGGGACCCGTCCGAGCTCCCGCGGATTTTCGAACAGCGACAGATGTACCGCCCCAGCCAAGCTCCCCGCCTGAAAGATGCATATTCTCTTCCTATACAAATACTTATTGCCTTGATAAACACCCCAAATTCTTGGTTACATTGTCATTGAGGAGGTTTAAAATGATCAGAGAATGGTGTGTGAGAATAGTTATTTCAGGGCTAGACATATAGGTTAGGGCAGGGATCATCAAACTTTTGGGTTAGAAGAGTCAAAAAGTACAATTTACAAAATTTCAAAGTTTTTTAAAGAGCCACATAATTTGTTCTTGCCAACAATAAATAGTTAAAATTTTACACAAATAAATTTACTGGTAATGCGTTTCTTTTAAATATCATCAAATATTATCTCTACTATTATCTCCACAGACCTTACTGCAATGATATGAGTTATTGAATGAGAGGGCTTGGTTCATCAGTAGTGAACCCTCTCAGCGGTTTCGCCAAATTAATCTCTATTTATCTCTAATATATCTCTATCCAGTAAATTTATTTGTGTAAAATTTTAATGATATGTGGCAATAAAATTTAATTTACTAAAACAATAAGTAGTACCCACATAAAAAATATTTACATATGAAACTATATAAACAGTTTCACATCCAAAGAACTACATGTGGCTCGCCAGCCACAGTTTGCCGACCCTGGTCTGGACATATAAGTTAGGGAAGATTACTCTAAGGAAAGACCTGTTGTCTGACAATATTGTTGTGGTGCAGAGATTGAACAAGAAAAGAAGAAGCTGGAGAAAGAGGAATCCACCAACTCAGCCGTGTACAGGATATACCAGATGCAGGTAGCTACTATACCACCTCTTATCACCACTTCCCTATTGATATATTTATTGTGTTTTCCTTTCCATGGTTACCATAGCCCTTTCTAGTTATTGTGGATTGGTGGCTAATTACCTTTAAGACACCAAGAAAATAATGTTTTTCTGTTGCAGAACATATTGATGCTGCTAACAGAGTATTCTAGATGTCTTTAATTAAGTTGCAATGAACATTGGATTCTATGTTGATAATGTTCTGTTCTTTCTTACACAGAAATCTTCTAGTCTATTTGGTATTGCTCTCTTGTTACCTTCAAATCTTTCTTTTGATTTATTACTTCCTTTATCTGATAAAGGCACAATTTGGATTATAGATTATAGCTACAAGAAAATAAGACCTAATCCAAATAATTTAATAGTGCGTAATGTTTCTGCAACAGCATTGTTACTATAATCAGATAAAAGAATAAAATCATTTTTATTCTTTTGTCTGATGATGGTAACAACCGAAATGTCACACACTATTAAATTATTTGGATTAGGTCTTATTTTCTTGTAGCTACTTCCTTTATCTCTTTGTTAGGGTCGCAGCGGACAAATGGTCTAAACCGTTGGTTCCCACAGTTCAACTGGTTCACAACTTCTATCTCTTTGTGCAAAAATATACAAATGTGAAATTGTACTGGGATAAGATGCATAAATTAAGAAAAAGGCATCTTCTTATAATGCAACTGAAAGTTCTGTCGGAATTTATCCACCATATCCCAGTACAATTTCACATTTTTTGCGTTCTCACGTTCTTCTGGCCTTAACTACCTGTTTCATGATTTTTCAGGATGCCTTAATGACCAGTTTTTGGTCATTGAGGTACAGCTTGCACCACACTGACGAGGGCCAACAGCCTGAAACCCATATATGGTTAGCTTTTCTTGGTTAATCAAGAATGAGTATTTGGCCAATTGTGTAATAATTAAAAATCAACGAATAGTTGATATTTATTCTGGCAGATGGCACAAGCCATCAGCAATTTTAAGTTGCACGATAAAGAGATGCCTTTTTTTCTTATTTTTATCTCTCTGTTTACTTTCTCCTTGTCTTTTTTCAACACTTTCCTTGAATCAACTAATTTATTAGCTTTTCTCTGAATTATTCTCTACACTTTTTCTCTTACAAAGGTGATGAGGGCTCTGCTAACATCTCGTGGTGTGAAATTCTCTATTATTCCCATGGATGGTTGTTTGTACACAGCTGAAACAGAGTGTTGTACCTGTGTGCAGCACATGGCCATCCTATACTGGTTCACCCAGGCCATGGTAACTTACAACAAGGTCCAGACTGATTTCCGAGATGCCT